GGAGGCGCAACGCACGCCTCGGGGCCGGTCCCGGGTGAGCAGCGGTCCCACAACGCCTGCCTGTCCCCACTTCTGACCCCACAGGCCCCTTGCTCCCCGCACTCGGAACCCGCCCTCCTCCCTCTGGAACCCCAGAACTCCCTACCCTAACCCTCCACCTGCGCACCCCCCCTCCCGCCGGGAAGAGCTGCTCCCCTCCCCTTGGAACTCCTTAAATGTCTCCCTTCTCTGGTCCCAGGCGTGTCCCTCCAGCCTAGTTCTGTCTCCCCACCCCAGACCTGTCTCCCCCAACTCCAGACCCCCTCACACTCACACCTGTCCCCCCACCCCTGACCTATCCTCCCACCCAGATCCTCGCCCCCAGACCTACCCTCTCCCAGACCTGTGCCCCCACCCGGGCCTCCTCATCCCCAGGCCTGTTCACTGAGGTCCACCTACCCTTAGACCTGTCCCTCACCTGGATCTTCCCACCCAGCCCTCCTGCTGACCTTGCTCCCTGGTGCCCCTCTCCCAGCAGGTGCCGACAGCCTGAAGGAGGAGCTGGAGGCCATCATGGAGCCAGGCCAGAAGCTGTCCTCTGCCTTGTCGGATGGAGACCGCCGAGAAGAAAATAGTCTGCACCCGCCTTTGCTTCCCAGAGTCGGGCAGCGCTCAGACGGGCTGTCCCCGCTGTCCTCAGCCTTAAGTGGGCGCGAGGCCAAGGTCACAGGTGCTCAGAGGGAGGTGTCTCGCCCAGGCCCACCAGGGGAAGCGCTGGGCAGGGTGGGGTGGGGACTCCCACTGGGCTTCCCCTGAGGTTTCCTCGCTGCCTTCCTGTGTTTCCCTTTCATCGGACAGGGTCGCCGTTGGTAAATACCTAAAGTTCTAGGAGTAAGATCCGCACCACAGGTGGGCACCCCCTCTGCTTTGTAGGGTGCTGACAGTTCTGCAGCCTGGGTAGGAGCTGGCCACCCCGCAGCCCCTCTCTGCATTTCCCGCAGCCCTGTTGGAGAGTTCCTTCCAGATCTTGGCTGGGGTCAAGTTGGGTTGTTTATTGCTGACGTGGGAATTCCGTGTGTGTTCTGGATACCAGTTCTTTGTCAGAGCCGTATCATAAATATCTGTGGGGTCACTTAAGTCACTCAGCCATTCCTTCAGTACCCAGGGCTTCTGGCTTCAGTGTGTTTACTTATCAATCTCCTATCCTTAGTGCTTTGGTGTCTTGTTTAAAACTCTGTGCCTACTCCTTTGTCCAGAGAGTACTACCCTGAAGTGTTTTTTTTGTTGTTGTTTGTTTTTGTTTTTGTTTTTGTTTTTTTTAAGAAGCTTTATAATTCCACTTTTCACATTTGGGTATACAACACTTTGAGACTGAGTGGTGCACATGAAGTGAAGCAGGGGTCATCCCCCCATTTGTATATCCAAGGACTCGGCTTCCTGGGGTCAACCAGGTTGCACATTCCCCATTCTGTACAGGGATTCAGCCTCTGCCTGGCAGGTCCCCTGGGGTCATCCAGTCATGGATCCCCATCTGTTCTTTCGTCTTTCTGGCTATCCTTATTCTCAGGTGTGGGTTCCCCATTTTATCCTATTGATTTTGCTGGCCGTCCTGGCCCTGTACCACCATTCTGATTCCAGGAGATTTCTTCTTTTCTTTTTCTTTTTAAAGTTTTGAGACAGGGTCTTGCTAAGTTGTCCAGGCTGTACTCAAACTTGGATTCTCTTGCCTCATCCTCAAGAGCAGCTGGAATTATAAGCATGCACCACCACGCCTGGCTCCGGTTGCTCTATAATAAGTCTTACCATCTGGTGGTTTAAGTCCCCTGACCTTATTCTTCAAGATTGCTTAGGTTTTCTTGGACTTCTGCACTGCCATGTAAATTCTGAATCAAATTGTTAATTTACATACATACAAACTGTGCTGGGATTTTAATTATTATTACATTGAGCCTATGGATCAATTTTGGAGAATCAAAATCTTAACAATATTGACTATTCTAACCCATCAGCCTCTGACTTTCCTTTAATTATTCTCAGCAGTGTCTATTGTTTTCATTGTGCATATACACAAGACTTCTGTTGCTAGATTTATTCCTAGATATTTGATGTTTTAGATGCTATAGATGACATTTTTTAGTTTCATTTTTCTCACCTTTTCTGAAAACACAGTTGTTTTAGTGCACTGACTTAGTAATTGGTGACCTCACTAAGTACACTTAGTAATAGATTCATTTAGATTTTCCATGTATACAGTCCTTCTCTACAAATCTTTTCAATCTTTATGACTTTTCTTTTCTTGCATTATTGCATTGGCTGGTGTTCTCAGTAAAACAGAGTAGAAATGGTATAGTGGACATTTTAATTTTGTCCCCAACTTAAGTGGAAACTATGATGTCCTGTAGGTGGTAAAGTTTCCTTTTACTGATGGCCTAGCAGGAGATTTTAAATGAACAGATGCCATGCTTTCTTCTCCATTTGCAGTGGTGATAGTATTTTTCTCCCATTGACATCCCCAACCCTTGGACTATTTATATGATGTGTTCTGTTGACAAAAATTGGTTTAGTATTTGAAAACCCCATGTCGTTATGCTGCATTGTTTTTCTGTTACTGGATTTGATTTACAAATGCATCGTTTAAGATTTCTGTGCCTATTTTTATGAGCGACATTGGCACACCCTATTCTTTTGCTGTAGTGTTCTCATCAGGTTTTGATATTAGATTATAGCCTCATAAAAAGAGTTGGAAAGAGTTTCCTATTTAGTGAAATGGCTTATATAAAGTTTTTCCCCCTAAATATTTGGAGAGATTGATGTGAAATACCATTAGACCGGGAGTTTTCATTTGGGGTAACACTTTTTATTTATTTTGTGGTGCTGGGGATTGAACCCAAAGGTGATTTATCACTGAGGCACATTGTAGCCTTTTTTGTTTTTTATTTTGAGGCAGGGTCTTGCTAAGATTCTGAGGCTGGCCTCAAATTTACTGTCCTCCTGCCTCAGCCTCCTGAGTCACTGGGATGGCAGGTGTGGGCCACTGTGCCCTGTTGATTTGTTTTCTTTTCTGAAACATGCATTAAAAGCTATAGATTTCCTTTTTCTTTCCACCTTAGTGGCATGGTAATGCTTTGATGTATCATATTTTCCTTATCATTTACTTCAAAGCACTTTTAAATTTCCACTTGATTTCTCCTTGTTTTATTTTTAAAGTGTGATACTTGATTTTTGAAGATCTGGGAAATTGTCTCCTCATCTTAGTGTTGTCACTTCCTGGTTTGGTTTGGCAGTTGAGGGAGAATCCAGGCTTCATCTCATCAGCCCTGTGGGATGTGGCGATGGCTGGCTGGGAAACGCTCCTGGGCCCCGGGTGCCCTCTGCATGGGGATGAGGTCCAGGTGGCTAATCACCATGTCCAGATTTCCTGTACTCTATGAATCCTTTGCTTAATCTTCCACTTACTGAAGCAGGTTAAAATATCCCAAAATAATGGTAGGTTTTTCTGTCTTTTGCTTCTGTCAGTTTGTTTTATTTATTTTGAAGCTATATTATTAGGTATACACATTTGGAATTTTTGTACCTTCCTGACAAACTGATTTTTTTCTTTTCTTTTTTTAAGTACCCGGGATTGAACCCAGGGACTTGCACACGCTAGGTAAGCACTGAGCTACACCCTCTAACCCTTTTTTTAAAAACTTGTAGATGGACACAATGCCTTTACTTTGTTTATTTATTTTTATGTGGTGCTGAGGATTGAACCCAGTGCCTCCCACATGCTAGGCAAGTTCTGTACCACCACAGCCCTAGCTCACCCTCTAACACTTTTAACTTTTACTTTGAAACAGGGACTCATTAAGTTACTAAGGCTGGCCTCAAACTTGTGACCCTCCTGCCTCAGCTCCCTGCGTAGCTGAGCAGATTGATTTTTTTTTCTTTTTTGGTGGAGTACCAGGAATTAAACCCAGGGCTACTTGACCACTGAGCCACATCCCCAGCCCCATTGTGTATTTTATTTAGAGACAGGTCTCAGAGTTGCTTAGGGTCTCACTAAGTTGCTGAAACTGGCTCTGAACTAGCAATCCTCCTGCCTCAGCTTCCTGAGCTGCTGGGATTACAGGTGTGTGCCACCAGCCCAGCCTGATAAGTCTTTTTAATGTTATGAAATGTCTCCCTAAATTTTTATTAATGTTCTTAAGTGTTAGTATGTATCTAGATATTTACTATGTATCTCCAAAAGTGACGTTTACTTAGGTAACCAAGTTCTTTTTCCACACTCACTCAAGTTAACAAAAGCACCTTAGTAAGACCTGGTTCCCAGCAGATGTCCTTATTTCCCACTTCCTCGCCAGTGTGTGCCCTGGTCAGCATCCGCACGCTGCCTGTGGGTGCTCCTCTTAATCCCACTCTGGCCTCTGCCCTGTGCTTGCAGGACCCAGACTTGCTGCACAGGAGGGCACCTGTTCTGTGGAAAGCCCTGCTTTAGGCTTTGTCTGCCAGGGGCCTCCTGGAGTGCTTGACTTGTCCCTCTGCCCAGTGAGTGTGCCCTGTGCCTAGAGGAGATGTCAGTAGCTCAATGGGGCTTTGCCAAGATGCCTCCAGGGGTGCTGTGTGCCCTGTCCTGCCCAGCGTCTGGAGCCAGACAGACCCCATTGTGCCACACTGTCGCTGCTGTCCTGGACTTAACCAAAGAGCAGGCGGTGGCCAGGGTCACCCAGGCACAGAGCACAGCAGCTCTGGAGGTACCTGGGGCCGAGCTCCAGGGTGCAGGGATGGCATGCGGGAGGTGGCTGGGGGCCCTTGGTCAGTACCTGTGTGTTGTGAAGACCACAGGGCAGGGGAGCAGGCTGCAATGCTGAGCCCACAGGACTCCAGGAGGTCATCCTGAACCACTCTCTGGTGGGTGTGACCTGGTGGGGTGTGAGCTACAACTGCCCCTGTGGCAGAAAGGGCATCTGGGGGCCTCCCACCTCCTGCCTCCTGCCCAGCACCGCCCAGCGGGTGGGCATTCTGGATATTTCCTTGGCCACGCCTCCCACGTGGGTGGCTGACCAGCTCAGTGAGAAGGGTCCCTCCCCAGAGGCCTCCTGCAGGCCTTCCCAGGTCAGCGCTTTCCAGGGATGGCTGGTGTGACGGAGGTGTCGGGGGCTGGTGAGGTCTGTTGGTGCTGCTCTCTGCTCACGGCAGTCAGCACGTTGGGCTGGCCACCAGGGTGGTGCCTGGTGGTCTCCACTGGCTCACGGAGCACCCTCTGTCTTCCCACGCCCTGAGGCCACCTGGGCCTCCCACCCCTCACCCCTCCAGCAGGCCCTGGTCCTCCTGCAGGGAGGGCCCAAGGCACCAGGGCCTTTGCCAGCTGTCTCCTGGGGAGCCGAGGGGCTTGATCAGGAAGGGAGATTCATGCCAGGGACTTTCCTGTGTCTCCTGGGACATTCTTGCTCATGGCCTTCTCAGGTTGTGGGGAATCGGCCTCTCTGTGCTGTCTCTGCAGGAGGCGGGCTCCCTGTCCTGGCTCTCTCTGTGGGGGAACTGCTGGGCTCACTTTCCCAGCCCAGAGTGAGACAGCCCTGGGGCTGAGCGGACCCTGTCCACCTCTGGAGCAGGCTCTTCTGGTGTTCGTTCTGGCTGCCTGTGTGTGGCCTCACTTTCTTGCCAGTCCTGGCCATATCCAGGCCCCATGGACAAGGTGGCCCCAGAAGGAGCAATTCACCAGGGCTTGCCCCAAGGTCAGCAGGCCCGGAGCTTTCCTACCAGGATAGTATGAAGCCTAGGATTTAGTTTCTGCAGTAGGTAGAGTGTTCTTTACATTTCCTATTTCTTTTTCTTTTTTTTTTTAAAGAAAGAGTGAGAGAGAGTTAGAGAGAGGGAGAGAAAATTTTTTAAATATTTTATTTTATTTTTTTTAGTATTTGGCGGACACAACATCTTTGTTGGTATGTGGTGCTGAGGATTGAACCCGGGCCACACGCATGCCAGGCGAGCATGCTACCGCTTGAGCCACATCCCCAGCCCCAACATTTCCTATTTCTTAAGTCTGTTTTGGTAATTTGAATTTTCTGGGGAATGTGTTCATTTTATCTAAATTTCAGGTCTGTTGCTGTGAAGCCCAGAGTGTCTCCAGATCCCTAACTGTCCCTGGAGCTTCCTGCCTTTGATTGGGGTGGGTGTGGGAGGCACTGGGGGTTGATCTCAGGGGCTCTTGACCACTGAGCCACACCCCCAGCCCTATTTTGTAGTTTATTCAGAGACAGGGTCTCACTGAGTTGCTTAGTGCCTCGCTCTTGCTGAGGCTGGCTTTGGATTCGTGATCCTCCTGCCTCAGCCTCCCGGGCTGCTGGGATGACAGGTATGGCCACCATGCGGGTGCTTCCTGTCTTCTTGTCAGGGTTCAGCCTCGTCTGCACACCAGCCTCACCACGGCATTGTCAACTTTACTAGTCCAAACTTTGGGATTGGTTGAAATGCTTTATTATGTTTAAAATGATATCTTTCATTCACGTCTGCTTTTTATTCTTTTTCTTACAGTTTCTTCAGGTTTTATTGTGTTCTTTCCACCTGCTTGGGATACACTCTTAACTCATTGTGTTTCACTTTTATTATTTTCTGATCGATGCTTATACAACTAGAAATTCCTTAATAAGCAGAGCTGGAGGCATCTCACTCAGGATGTGATATTTGGTGTCTGACTTCTGAGTTCAGATGCATCCCGCCCGGAGCAGCTCTTAAACCTGTGCAGTGTCTGGGAGTGGGTCACATTTCTGAAGGTCATGTTCAAGTCCTTGTCCCCACTGGTCTGTTGGCCCCTAAAATCTGCGCCCGTGACCCCATGCGGCTGGGGCTGTGTTTCCAGGTGATGTTGTGAGACCCTCAGTCCCACTGACGCCCCTCAAGCCTTCCTGTGATCCAGCGGTCTTGCTTCATCTCCGCAGAGTGGGTTCCCAGCCCTGGTCTGTGGAAGGCCCTGGGCCTGCACCCTGCCTCTGCTCTGGGGCAGCACTGGGAACACTGCCCTGGGTCTGTGGGCTACTTTTCCTTTCCCTAACAAAGCAGAACTTTTTCATCTAGAACATTTTGATCCGGTTTGTGGACCCAGCTCCTGTGGTGGATGCTCTCTGGTGCGTCTCAGAGCATCGCCTACCCGGGTCCTAACGCTCCCTCCTGCGTTCCTGCCATGACCTTCCTGCTCGCTCACCTCGAGTCACTTTGAACGCGACTGGGCACTTGCTTTTCCGCATGGACATCTGGTTCTAGCATAGTTGTCCCCACACCCCCACCCAGCTGCTTTCTCCTTTTGTCGGAGTCGCTTGGCTGGTGGGCATGGATTGTGGGCACAGAGCACCAAGGGAGGAACACGTGGACAGGGCTGGACTGGTGCCTCCTGAGCGCTCCTTGGGTAGCCAGGGACTGTGGGTCAGGGCGCTTGGCAGTTGGGATGGTCTGGTGGGGCATGAACATTTCAAGGATTCCTCAGACTCGACAAGGTGCCCAGGGCATGGGCGTGATGACACAGTGGCGGGTGCCAGGATTCCACGTGAGGGCTTGGGAGAGAGAGGGGCAGCAGTGGGCTGGGGACGTGGGGTCACTGATAAGCCCAATGCTAGTGCTGCTTAGAGGGAAGGCGCAGGGTGGACCACAGGGGTGGTCTGGAGAGGTGTGGACCTAGCTCACTGCCTCTGTGGAGCCCACCAGATGTGGTATCCAGGAAGGAAGTGGAGAGTTGGGGCAGCAGGGTGGAGGGCTCTGGACTCTGCAGCTTTGGGCGTGTTTGTGGGGTCAGGATCACACAATGGCCACGTGGGTTAGTTTTCTGTCATTGTGACCAAACTCCTGACAAGAATAACTTAGAGGGCAGACATTGCAGCCAGGAAGCAGAGAGAGAGAGAAAGCTGGGCACTAGACCCCATCCCTAAGGGTGGCCTCAGCAGCCCACCTCCTCAGTTGGGTCCCACTCCCGGTTGTCCTTCAGCTGTAGATGAGTCCATCGCCCTGGGATGGAGCCAGAGCCCTGGTGCGCTAACTATTGCCCACAAGTCTCATCTCTGAGCACTTGAGATTTGGAGGAAAGGATCTGGAGTCAGGAAGGGGGGTGTCTGGAGGGGAAGAGGTCACCTGAGCATGCTCTGGGCAGGAGGGAGGAAGGCCACCGGCCCAGGAGGGGCTGAGATGCCGCTCCTCTTCTGGCCACACATTTGAAAGATCCAGAGGATGGAGACTCCCCAGGCCAGAGGGACCAGGGGCAGGCAGGGAGAGCACCGGGGAGGAGGAAGGAAGTAGTGGCTGCAGGGAGGTGGCGGGCAGAGGTGCTGAAGAGGGGAGAGGGAGAGGCTGTGGGGCTTGGGTGCTGGAGCATGAGGTGGGTGGGCACAGGTGGGGACATGCGCTGGAGGGTGGGCAGTGGGACACCATGGCTGAGCGCCCCGTCAGGCCGGGTGCTGTGTGTGGAACTGGGCGCTCTGTCCTCTGTTCTGATGCTTGTCTCTCTTTTGCAGAATCAAAGCAAGGAGTTTCCCAAGCCTCGGCATCTTCCCCCAAACTGGACAGATACAAAATAGCAAGGCAGTTGACAGAAAAAGCCATCAGGGTAAAGATCTCTGGGACCAGGGGGCAGACTTTCTGAAGCAGGCATCTGTTTGGAATTTGGAGAGGGTCTGCTGGTGGAGACACTGCCCTGCCTGCAGAGAGGCTGGAGCCCCCTGTGGTGTGGCTGTGTCCTGAGGAAGGGCCAGGGACATCCCCCAGTGTGGTGTGTGGGCGGGGCTTGGTGCCACAGAAGAGGAACTGGGGCTGGAGGCTCCTGGGGTTCTGGGGGAGGGCAGGAAGCCCATCTTCTCCCTCTGCAGCACTCAGGGACCTGGGGAAATGGAGAAGGTGTCTTGTCCTGTGTGTGGGAAGGCACCACATCTGACACCCCGCCAACGTGAAGCTCAGGTGACGGGGAAGGGACTGCTGCCTGGGCGCTGGTGGTCCTGCTCCCAGGGCCCCGCGGGCTGGGGCAGGAATGTGAAAGGCCATTGACGCCAGCCACCTGCAGCAGCCTCCTGCCTGAACCTTCCCCTGAGGCACTCACCAGTGCAGGAGCAAGGTGTCATAGGCTGGGCTCCCAGAGGAGCAGGGCAGGTCTCAGCAGTGTCAGTCACGGTGAGGAAAGTTCCATCACCCTCCTGGCCCCAAATCCTGACCACCACGGTGTGCTTTTTGTGCTTTCCATCTCTGACCTCTGACCTCTCCGGAATTCCATGTAAGAAGACTGCCGCTCATTGATTTTCACATTTTTTTTTCCTGAAAGCTTAGAATATATAAGCGTTTAGGGCTATAAATGTTCCTCTAAGTACTGCTTTAGCTGTTTGTCATAAGATTTTATTTTGTAGAATTTTTGTGGTCATTCAGCCCAAAGTATTTCATCATCCATATTACTATTTCTTCATTGATCCGTGAGTTACCTGAAAGCACGGTTCTTCATGTCTGTACTTGAGGGTTTTCTGGAGTTGTACTGTCCTTGTTTTCAAACCTGCTTTGTGGTTGAGAATGTGACACGTGGAGTGTTGTTCCATGGAGCAATGCTTGGGCTTGTTTCACGCCTAACATTTTCTTAATTTGCATGAGAGTGAGTGTACAGCTGTCCATTCACACTCATTAGAGAGAGTTTGTCATTTGACTTGTTCAGATCTTCTGTGGCCTTACTGGTTTTTTTAAATCTGTTTTCTATCATTTACTGAAAAACACGTTAAAATAGTCTGATGTAGTTGTGGCTTGTCTACTTGTAGGTCTGCCCATTTTTGCTTTATATACTTTCTTGCCCTCATAATAGGTTCACAGAAATGTATATTTCTGGTAAATTGAAACTATTTCAAATTATGAAATGATTACTCTAATAATGTTTACTTGTCTCAAATGCTATTTTGTCTTGTGTATATCCTTTTATTTTCTAACCTAGCTGTAGGTTTATGTTTTTTAATGATCTCTTATAAACAACAGAATTGACTTTTAAACAAAAATGCATGGTCTGTCCTTTAGCCTGAGCGTGTAGTGTACTTGCCTGTAATTAGACTGGGTCTGCAGCAGGTCTACTGTCTGATTTCATTTGCTCAGCATATCCTGTTTGTTCAGTTTTCTTTTCTTCTCTTTCTGTGCCTTCTCTTGAACTGATACCGTGTGTGTATGTGTGTGCGTGTGTGTGTTTGTGTGTGTGTATGTGCGCGTGCGCGCGCGTGTGTTTCTGGGGTGGAACCCAGGGCCTTGTGCATGCCAGGCAAGTGCTCTGCCTCAGAGCCATATCCCAGCCCTGGACCGATGACATTTTTTATTGCATTTCCTTCTGTCTCATGTGATAAGAGTCTTCTACTGTTTTCATCTACTTTTAAAATAGTTTTTTTAAAAATACTTTTAATTGTAATTGGACATAATATCTTTATTTTATTAATTTATCTTTATGTGGTGCTGAGGATCGAACCCAGGGCCTCACACGTGCGAGGCGAGCGCTCTACCACTGAGCCCCAGCCCAGCCCTCTTTCCACCTTTTGTGGTTCCTTTTGGGATGGTATTCTGCTGACCTACCAAGATGAGTCTCTTTTCTGAAGTTATGCAGCACAGGGCATGGGGTTGAGCACAGCCTGGCGTGTTCCTTGGGGAGCTACAGGGTGCCGGCCTTCTCGCACTGTCCAGCTCCCGTGGGCCGTCGGGCTGCCTGGGCTTACCAAGTGGAGGGCGCCGGGCCTCTGGCCTTCCTCAGCTATGTGTTCCTGGGGGTGGCGCACAGGTCCCTGTTGGGGACCGTGCAGTGGTCTTATGCTGCATGACCTGCTTCCAAGATCAGCTGCATGGAACAGCGTCTGCTGACCGTCCTGCAATCTCTGGGGCGCAGCCTGGAGGTGTCCACATCAGGCAGGGTGGGCTGGAGGGTCTGCTTCTGAGCTCCCTTGGGCATCATCGGAAGGCCTCCTTGCGGTGTCCTTTCAGCCAGCAGTGGGGAAGGGACAGCTCTGCGGCTGCTGCAGGGCTCTCCTGACTGGTTCCCACAGGGCCTGACTCTTCCCTAATTCAGAGTCAACGAACGATGTCAACAGTCCTGGTGACATCCTGACCCTCCCTGTTGCAGGCACCTGTTGGTTAGGGTGGGACAGAGGCCTTGCCTTTGGTGCAGCAGGGGCTCTGCAGAGTTCAACTCAGCATGGCACCTTCAGTGTGCCTAGACCACCAGGACCCTGGTGACTCAGCCCCTCTTCCTGCCTCAGCCCCACTGACCCTGCGCCTGGCAGTGACTGAGTCCAGGCTGTATCTTCTACCTTGGTTCAGGGATGCCCTCATGACTGTCAGTCTGCCTTCTGTTGCTATAACAAAATACCCAAGACTGGGAACTTTATCAAGGAAAGATGTTATTTGCCTCATGTATTGGAGGCTGAAACTCCAAGCTGAGGTGGCCCTCTCTGTGCAGCCCCTGGTGAGGCCCCCTTTGGCATCACATCACCATAGATGGCATCAAGGTGGGACTGCATGCAAGAGGGAGGACTTGTGGGAAGAGAGGGAGCCAGAGCGGCAGGGGCCAGGTGATCTTTATAACAACTCACTGTGGGAGAGCTAACTTGACCCTGGAGACCTGGGGCAGCCCCCAGTGGCCTAGCCACCTCCCACCAGGCCTGCTGGTAAAGACAGTGCCTCTTGGCACCCTGCACTGGGGACCATGCCCCAAGCACATGAGCCCATGGTCCCAGCCGTGGGGGAGCCCCCCTGCACAGGTGCCCCCGACCCAGCCGTGCGGTATTCTCCGAACAGGAGGCAGGGTCTGCCCTCTGCACAGTCTGCCTCCTCCTGCTTTGCAAACCCCCCTGTGGGGAGACAGACCCCTGGCTCTCTGTGCTTCTGTTAAGTCATGTCTGCCATCTTAGGAAAAGAAGATTTTCTCCATCTACGGACACTACCCGGTGATCCGGGCCGCTCTGCGGAAGAAGGGCTGGGTGGAGAAGAAGTTCCACTTCCTTCCCAAGGCCCTTCCCAGTGTGGAGGTCGGAGGGGAAGGGGCCGCTGGTAGAGTATCAGAGAGGCCTGTGCTTCTGTAGGGGGTGCTCTGCTAGTCTGTCGCAGGGCCGAGCTGTGTGTGGGGATGCCCACTCCTGCTGGGGTCTATTCCATATCTCCACCACCTTCCCAGCTCCCCAACCCAGGCACCCATCCACTGGGCAAGCCCATCAGGGTACTGGTCACTACTTCACATCACCATGTCCATGCCCAGCCCCAGTGTTCCTCCTCTGGCCCAGCCCCCTGCAGTCCTCAGGCGCCCACCATGCCAGCTGCTCCCCCAGGACCCTCTGTCCCTGTGCTGCTCTGCACAGTGTGTCTGCACTAGACAGTCCCAGGGCCTGGAGACTCAGGCCACACACCTCCCCCACCCCCAAGTCCCAGAAGGGACCCTCCTCCACCGCCCAGGTCCTCAGACTCCATCATGCTGACTTCTGGGCTGCCTCCACTGCCCCTCCACATGGGGACATCTGGGCCTCCAGGACCCCGGGGCCCCAACCCTGGCACTGCCCCAGGTGGGTGCCATGCCACGGAGATCAGAGGTGGCTGTTCTGTCTGCTACATGACCCTGACGGTGGAGGGGCTCCAGTGAGGTGCCCGGCTGCACCAGCCTGTCTCTTATGCATGTTTTGTTTGCAGATAACAAAGGCACTGACATCAAAGAAAACCAAGCAATAGCCCTGGAGAAGATGGAGGACATCCACAGTGTGATGGTAGGCCCACGCACTGACCCAGGGGCACGAGCAGGGACAACAGACCCAGATCACTGCAGATGGGGACAGGGCCTTTGTGGGCCTGGGTTGTGTGGGGCGGTGGGGAGCTGGCTGTGCTGTAAGGCAGATCCTGGGACGTGGCCATGCGCCAGATAGGGTCTCCACAAACACAGCTGCCCGCAGCAGCTGCACACCTCGCCCCCACTCAGTGGCTCTGGAGAGGACCCTCCATGGAGAAGGTACATGTGCCTGACTGAAGTGTGGGAGGAGCTACGTGTGGTGCAAATGACCTAAGAATTCAAGTATCCAGAGTATTTATAAGAACTCACAAATCAACCATAAAAAGACAGAAAAACAGGCCAGTGTGGCTAAACACCTCAGGAACGGCCAAGGAGCACACCATTCTGAGCTCACAGCATAACTCCAACTGCACTGGCAGCCCAGGTACTGTCCTGGTCTGCCGTGGAGGAGGTTCTGGAGGCCGGGAGTCCTGTACCACAGGCTGCGCCGGGGGCCTCCACAATGGACCATCCAGGGCGGCAGACAGGGAGGGAGATGCGCTCACAGCCCAGGCTCCTGTGGGCATGGTCCCCAGGTGAGGTGGGCCACTGAGACCACACAGCCCCGCCCTGAGGCCTGAGTGTCCAGCAAAGGCTTTTTCAGGGCATGTACCACTTAGCAATGCATCTCTGTGCGGCAAAGAAAGGGAGCGGGGGCCTTAGCTCAGGCTGCTGTGACAAGGACCATGACTGGTGGCCCATCTCACAGTTCTGGAGGCTGGATGCCTGGGACCAGTGCTAGCCTCCTGGTTGGCAGGTGATGGACTCCTTGCTGGTCCTCACAAGGACCTCTCCAAGGTCCTTTTATAAAGGCACTGATCCCATTTGAGGGCTCCACCCCGGAGACCTCATTTCCTCCCAGAGTCTGCACCTAAAGCTGTCACCTTGGGGACGAGGATGCCTGTGTGAATTGGGGAGACACAATATTCCACCTGCGGCACATGGAACACGGGACACCTCCAGGGAGCAGGCCGCCGGCTTAGCTCTGCCAACATGCTTCACCCGGGCACGGTGGTCACTGCCCCCTGCTGGGTGCTTTTATGCTTCTAAGAGAATTCGTAACAAGATTTAGAAATGAGACTTCCACCCCAAAGTGAGGACCAAAACCATGGACATCTCTCTAAGGGTGGGAAAAGGTCCCACCCTGGAAAGAAGAGTGTCCCAGAGTCCAGCGAACCAGGAGGTCTGGGGCGTGCTGCGAGCCGGGTGGGAGGAGGCCCCAGGCCCAGCAGCCAGGCCAGAGCTGGTGGAGTCGTGCTGCAGGATCCCTCACACCTCGGGCCATACAAGCTGGTCTGCAGAAACTGGCCCAGAAGGGGCTTCACTTCACCAAGGCCAAGGGGCAGGGGTTATCGGGGCGGGGTTTTAGAGCATGTTCTCCTCTCCTGGTGTCTCTGCTTGGTTACGTTTGAGCACACTCAGGCCACTGCTGGTCATTAGAAAACCACCTACAGCCAGGGTCGCCCCGCCGCAGCGTCGGCTCCGCCCAGACCTCGCCTCCTACCGTGGGGAAGACAGCCCCCCAGGGTTCGTGGAGCATCGCGGTCACCCCGAGTCGCAGGTGGCATGTACCTGGGTCCACCACTGGGGCCTTTGGCAGCGAGTGGCCACAGCTGCGGTGGAAAGCCTGCTGGAGCCGTCAGGCCACAGCTCTGTCCAGTCCTGCGTGTCTCGGCAGCGTCCCTCTGTCTAGGAGGCGGACCTGAGTGGCGGCTGTTGACAGAGGTCTCTTCTTGCCAGTCTAGGTTGGTAAAGAACGAGACGCCGTACCTTCTCTGGACCATCAAGAGGGACGTCGTGGACTACCACAGCCTGACCTATGACCAGATGCTGAACCACTACGCCAAGACCGCCTCCTTCACCACCAAGGTGGGCGGAGCGCGTGGGCCCCAGGCGCCTGCAGGTGGGCGGAGCGTGGGCAGGCCCCGGGCCTCAGGGCTGGACGGCCAGCGCCGGGTCAGTGGGCTCCTCCCCAGGATGCCCTACCTCCTGTGGCTGGTCACTGGGCACCTGCCTGGCTGCCCACGCCCCAGGGCGCCCCTGTGTCTCTTGCTATACCACCACGTGCTCCCGGGGCCACAGAAGCCCCCTCCTCAGGGCACACTGGCCAAGCCAAGGACGGGTCCTAGGTGGACGAACAGTCCTCGCCTTGCGGGTGCGGTGCAGCCGGGCTGCCCATGCGGGCCCCTGACGTGCCGCTGTCTCTGGAGATTGGGCTGTGTGTGAACATGCGAAGCCTGCCATGGTACGTCCAGGCGAACCCCGACTCCTTCTTCCCGCGCTGCTACAGCCTCTGCACTGAGAGCGAAAAGCAGGAGTTCCTGGGTAAGTGACGGACTACCTCCTGGGGCCTACCGTCCCACTGGCCTAGGGCCAGGACCCCTAAGGAAGGACCACCATGCGCTCAGCGAGAACCAGTCCAGAGACTTCCACTGGCCATGCTGGGAGCATGGGAGGAGGGACTGAAGAGCAGGGTGCTGGCTGATTGGCTCTGAGCTGCTCTGCCTGCTTGTCACTGACCTGGACTAAGTGACCACTGTGCTGCTCAGAGCCACAACACAGGACCCACCACTGTGTTCTGCATCTGTACTGGGGGGTGCAGACAAGACCCCTGGGCAGGAGGGCTCAGCCACCTGAGGGTTCAGGGGGGCCAGGATGGGGATAGTGGTTGGGAGACCCCAGAGCATCCTGGAGCTGTAGCAGAAGAGCTTCTAGAAAGATCCCTCTGGCCCTGTGCTGAGACGGGTGGAGATGGGGGTGGGGCTGAAGACAGGACCCGGGAAAGCACAGGGAGGGAAGAGCAGGAGGGGGGTGGACAGGGCAGCTGGGGGCAGAAGTGAGGCCCTGCATGGCTTAGGTGCTGGCTGAGAGTAATGGGGAGCCTTGCCTTGCCCACTGCATCCCCATCCCCAGTCCTGGGCGTGGGGAGCAGCTGAGGCCTCCATTTCCTTCCAGAGGACTTCCGGCGCACAGTGGCTTCTAGCATCCTCAAGTGGGTGGTCAGCCACCAGAACTACAACAGAAACAGGTCCAGGAGGCGGGAAGAGGCCAGGCAAAGCGACACTGGCCCCCGGAAAGGTAAGGGCGGGTGGGTGGCACCGTGGTTCTAGGGTCTGAGCAGTCCTGTCCCTGGCGCCCGCGCATCTGGCTCTCCCAGTGATTCTCACTGGTTGGCCTTCCCTGCCTTTACTGGGGGCCTGGGAGGTCATGACCCTCATCCCACAGTGGCACCAGAGCTCACAGTGCCAAGGGTGCTGACTCAGGAGAGGACCACACTCTCCCGCTCCCCCTGTGGCCTAGGGACATAAGTGGGTTACTCTGGAATATTTGTTTCAGCAAATTTTAGCTTCACAGCAAAATTGTGCAGAAGGCACAGGAGTCTCCTATACCCTGCCCACCACTGCCACCCCCAGAGTGGTGCATTTGTTATAGTCAAAGGCTAAATGTTGGCGTTTTAATGCGTGTATTTGAGCAAACTGATTTGTGAATGTGGCAGTCCCAGGCCATAAGTGGTTCCGGGGGACTCCCAGTTCAGCGGAAGGTGAACACGGGAGGGCCGTTATGGGGTAGGTGTGGAAGCAGGTTGGAGCTGCTGCCTCATTCGCCTGTCCAGGTGGGATGTTGAAGATGTGTGACCAACGTTCCCTTGGCCACCTGTGGCTGGCTCAGCTGGCCCCTGGGGCCTTGGTCCCTTTGCTGTTCCATAAAGGTGGTATAGCTGGAGTCCCAGGACCATAGTTTCTGCAGACTGACTTTATTTGCTTGTCCATAGCCCTTTGAGGTCCTGTCCACCATGGGTTGATGGCTGTTCCCTGCAGGGCTGAATAACCTGGCACTCTGGGTTGTTTATCTGCTTGCCCCAAGGGCATTATGTGATAAAGCTGCAGTGAAGCTCCGTGGGTGGGTCTTGTGGGTGTAAGTCTTCCACTCATTTGGGTGAATACCAAGGAGCGCGATTGCTAAGCACTGTGGCAGGAATATGTTGAGTTCCATGAGAAATCGCCCACTGTGTCCCAGGTGGTGGCACCTTGCCTTCCCACCAGCCTGTGCTCACAGATGTGCTCCATGTCCTTGGTGCTGCAGAGTGGCCACAGCATCACCCGCTATTAACTTCAGCTCCCTAGCAACAGGATGTGGAACATCCTGTCCTGCGTTGCTGGCCGTCTCTGCATCTGTGTCTGTCAGATCCCCTGTCCCATCTTAAATCTGGCTGTTGTCTGCTTGCTGTTTCAAGAGTTCTTTGCTGCATTGGATCATTCCGTCACCAAACTGGGAGGTGTTTTCTCCCAGGTGGCCACTTGTCTTCCCCTCTTCTTGACAGGGCCTCTCACAGAGCAGACACATCTGCTTTTAATGAGTTCTGACTTCACAGTGATTTCTTTCATGGATGGCACCTTTGGCCCCCCATGAAAAGGCGCTGAGACCCCAAGTCGTGTGGGTTTTGTTTCTTCTCCTGGGAGTTCTGTAGTTTTCCACTTTACATGGGGCCTGAAACCCTTTGGAGTTAATTTGAGGGAAGATGTGCATTCTGTGCCTGGATTTGGTTTTGTTTGCCTCTGCATTTGGACACCCAGCTGCTCCACACCCTTGGTTTAAAGACTGTCTTTGCCCATTGTTACATCTGCTCCTTGGTAGAGAGGATGACATCTGTGTGGGCCTGTTCTGGACTCTATTCTGTCTACGGATCTCTACGTATTCTGTCCCCAGGACCATGCTGTCTTGACCACAGCAGGCACAGAAGTTGCTAAGTCAGCTAGAGTGAGTTAGGTTAGTTTTTCTCCTTCGATTTGGAGTTGAAGCAGATTCTGGTCTTGGGCCTCTCGGTATAACTTTAGAATCAGTTTGTCAATATTCACAAAATAACTTGATGTGATTTCGGTTGGGACTATGTATAGACCAAACTCTGAAGAACTGACATTAAGATAATATTGAGTCTTTTCTACTCGTGCACACAGCATAACTCTTCATTTATTTAGTTCTTTGAGATCATTCATCACAGTTTTGTGGGGTTTTCCTTACACAGATCTTACACATATGTTGTTATTCTTATTTATACATAAATATTTCAATTTGGGGGGGTGCTAATATAAATGCTATTTTGTTTTTTAATTTCAAATTCCAATTGTTCATTGTTGTTATATAATAAAATTATTTCCTCCAGGAGTGTGTGTGTCTGTTTTGGATTTTCTACATAGACAATAATGCCATCTGGAATAAAGACAGTTTTATTTCTTCTTTTCCAATCTGAATACTTTTTATTTCCTTGTCTTATTGCATTATCTAGCATTTCCAACACAGTGTTGAAAATCAGTGGTGAGAGAGGATGCCCTGGCCTTGTTCTGATCCCTGCAAGATAGCTGCTGATTCTCACCATTAAGTATGATGCTAGTTGTGCATCTGTGGTGGATATTCTTTTCACATTGAAGAAGTTTTCTTCCTGAGGGTTTTTATCACCAGTGGGTGTTGGATTTGTCAAATTATTTTCCTGCATCTGATCTTTAGCTTTTTTTTTTTTTTTTGGTACCAGGGATTGAACTAAGGGGTGCTTACACTGAGCCACATCCTAAACTCTTTTTACTATTTTATTTTGAGACAGTTTCACAAGTGCTAAGGCTGGCTTTGAACTTGTGATCCTCTGCCTCAGCCTCCCAAACTGATGGGATTACAGGCATGCAGCACCATGTCCAGCTTCTTTAGTCTCTTGATGTCATCTGTTAAGTGAGATATTTAAGTTATTTAATATGTAGTTGGATGTGACACACAGAGAGACATTCAGAATGGAATAGCAAAAAGACTAGACTCATGACAGACCCAGAAGGAAGAGTCAGTCTGCCTTACAGGTCAGGAGGAGGGTTTCCACACTGAAGGTGGGTGCTTAACCAGTGTGTGGAGAGCAAGAGCTGGGGCATCCAGGGCAAAGCCTCCACTGGGGTCCACAGCCCCACCTAAGTGAGTTTTGCTCCTGTGGACTTCCTCTCTGTGTCCACCTGCTGTGCCCCTGCCTCCAGCAGTTCAGACTCGGGCTTGTCCGTCTGTCTCTCCAGCTTGGAGACGGTGTTTTTGCCTTACTTCTCCGATAGATCAGGGAAGAGCTGTTAGTTTTTCATGTGCTCAGCTTTTTCCTGTGAGAATGGAGTGTGACTTTCGTGCATAAATAAAATAAAGGTATGGTGTCCATCTACTAAAAACAAATTAAAAAAAAAAGGAGGAAATCTGAGTGCCCACGGTCATCTCTGCAGAAGTGTTGCTGGGAAGTCTGTGCCACATCACAGCTGCCCCTGCAGGTGAGTCCTGAGTCCCCCGTTGCTGCAGGCTCGCCCCAGGGCCAGGGGCGCATGGTTGTTTTCAGTCAGTACCCACATCCCTGATGCTGCCCAAGACTTGCTTTCACCCTGCACTTCCTGGGATTGAACAGTGGTCCTGAGGCCTGGGGTTCAGAAGGATGTGGTGCTGTGTGATGGACAGGTTCAGAGGCCTCAGGGACGTCTGTGCCTGTGCTCTGAGAAGCCGGTAGTGCTGGCGAACACCTGCAGTAGCCCAATGTGGTCATATCAGAGTTTTTGAAAAAGTTTTCCAGTAGCATCTCCTTGCTGGCAGGAGAGCTGTCTGGTCCTCAGAGGGGAAGGGGTGCACACCGAGCAGAGGAGGATGGTCCAGTGCGGGGAGAGGTCCCCTGCCCAGAAGGAGGTATCACCCTGTGGTGGCTGCGCAGAGGACCTCTGTGGCTGAGTGATGGCCTTTGTCCCCTTGGCATGGGACACACCAGCACCTGTGCTTGGGTTTCAGATCCTGAGGATGCAGATGAGAAGTTCAGGAGCCTCTCGGGGCAGCTTGTGGACACAGCCTGCAAGGTGTGCCAGGCCTACCTGGGGCAGCTGGAGCACGAGGACATCGACGTGTCCGAGAGCAGCAAGGAGGAGCTCTCCGAGGATGAGTGGAATGACCTGACCCAGCAGTACTACTCCCTTGTCCAGTAAGACATGCCCCCCATGGCCCCGAGTGCAGAGGCGCGATGTGGGCACGTGCACTGGCCTCCGTTCCCCTGGGGATAGCAGGAGCTCCCTGGGGCCAGCAGCCTTTAGTGCTGGGCTCCTGTCTGGGCATCGGGTACCTGCCTGGGCATCTGGACTCCTGCCTGGATGTGTGGTGCTTGTCCAGGTGCCAGGCTCCTGCCTGAGCAGTGGGACTTCAGCCTGCGTTGGACTGTGTGTCGGGGCTCCTGTCTGTGTGTCGGGGCTCCTGCCTGGTGTTGGGCTCCTGTCTGGGTGTTGGGCTGGGTGTCGGGGCTCCTGCCTGGGTGTTGGGCTGTGTGTCGGGGCTCCTGCCTGGGTGTCGGGGCTCCTGCCTGGGTGTCGGGCT